AGACATAACCTAGAGCTACAAAAAGTTGATTAAAATGTTTTTATGCTTATTTCAATGTCAGATGAGACTGCTCACCTTTTAAATACTAATGATTTGTTTATATCTGTAGTGTCTATTGATTTTATTAAGTTTTCAGGTTCATTTATAGATGAAATCATTACAAAAAAGGAAATTAACTTTGTCCCTAACATGTATTTCTCTTTTTTCGTTTCATCTGGAAACTGGAAAGCTGATTTGTTTTTGCTTCAGTAGTAAGTGATTGGTCCAATTACACTGACTATGCTATACTGTAATAGTGGAATTTGTCTAATTGAAATTTCGCTTCTTAATTTCTAAGAGTATGCATTCATCATCCATCGATCCCATACTTATTGAGCACCGGCTATTTGCCTGGAAATTTTAGGTTTTAGGGACACACAAATAAAGAAAACTTCAGTCAGAGTAAACTTCTGCCTAATTGGTTGAAAATTTATACGAGAAAGATTTTATAGATAGATATGTGATGTGTGCATTTATGATATTTATGTGTTTTATTTGAAGATATATGACTATATAGTATTCTTTGATGTTTGTCTAAATAGTTATGGTTATCATTTTTCTCAAAACCTCCTAGGAACTCCTACTGATATATTAATGTACACTGTGATGGCGTATGAATCTTTTCTGAGTTGATCCCCACTACTGTGCCTTTGCATATACCATTTGCTCTTCCTATAGCTTTCCTCACTTGCCCACCCAGCAAATGCCTGCTCATCACTGAAAAGTCCGTCAGGCATTACCTTCTCCATGAGCCCTTCCCCAAGCATTTACCAATAGAATTGATCACCCTTTCCTCTGTACTATTTATAAACTTTGTACATTTTTTATTATTCCATTGATATAAATATTTATTAACATATCACCCATTATTTCTATACTGTAAGCTTCTTGATGATAAAAATATTTATCTCTTCAGTTTTGCATTCCTAATAATTATCAGAATGCCTGGCACATATGCACGTTCACAAAATGTGAACTAAACAGAGGAGCCGTTCTATTGTCACTTGGGGAATGCCACAGAAATCTGTTTCATTTCATTTTAAATTATCTCTAAATTAAAAATAAACATTTAAATATTTTCGAATATTTAGCAAACAGATTTCAACATTTTATTAAATTATTTTCTGATGAGAGAAATGCCCATCCTTATAAAAGCCTAATAAAATTCTATAGTTAGGAACACACTTTTCTTTTTAAAAATTTCTGTTGCTCTCTCCCCCCACTCTTTAGACTGTGTCAACAGCATGGTTATTATAGACTCATCCTATTTACATTACGTTACAATACCGAGTTTATATATCCAAGGCCCCTCCTAGACATAAACTTCTTGAGAGCTGCACCCTTGTCACGTCTATTTTTGTAATCCTGGTGAACTGCAACGACTGTGAAAGAGAAGAGCTTAACAGGTGTTTCTTGAATTAATAAACAGAAGAATACATAGGAAACAGTGAATAGAATTAAATCCTAGGTTCTTCTGTCTCTATTAGGACCCGTTTTGTGATTATCTTGAAGAAATCTCTTACATTCTACATAAAACTTTGACTCTGTTGTTGAATAAGGGACTGTGTGGCATGACACATTAGGAAAATGAGTAGGAAAGGAGAAAGCTTAGCTGTGCAAATATTTTATTTTGGCTTTTAAGTTTATACTGAAAGAAGTCTTCTCTAGTTTTGAAACATGAAATAAGGGGTTGGGTCAGAGAAAAAATAACTGGATTTTTTTATTACAAAAAGAAATAGGTGTAAAAAACATTTCACTGAAATTCAGAAGCTTTGGGAATCTTTCCCCCTCTGCTACGATGGCATTAATTCCATAATTTCCTCTTATTCTAACTGTAGACAACAGGAAGATTTTTATTTGAATCATTTGATGTTTCGCTGTGATTTTTTGTCACCATCAAAGTGTGGATGCCTAGTAAAATATCACCAGATGAAGAGTAGAATTGGACACATTCTAGTTTACTGTTGCAGAAAATTATGTACTCATGTTTTACAACAGTAGTGTTTGAAAAATGTGGTGAGTTAGTTTTGAAACTTCACTCAAGTTTTAAGGATATGTAACATCTATTAAATGTATTATTACTCACTAGAAAGTGGCAGCAGCAAATACACTCATTAAGTGACCTTGAACAGAAGTTATTTCTACTGGAGCCATTTAGCAAATGGCAATAAAGCACTCATTACTTTTAAAATTAAAAACCCCAGATGAATACCTGAATTTTATTTTATTTTTTCATACACAAAGCACTTTAAAATCCAAGAAATAATAATTCATAAATATATAGACTATCCAAATATCATAACTTTTTTCAAAAGTAATTCTCTAATTTATGTATTTACCAGACTATTGACTTTAGCAAGTTGATATAACAAATTAAATCAATGTTGTTAAAAATGTGAAATGGTGATATAGTTATTTAAAGTGTAGTTACTACAGTTTATAATATTTTGTCTAAGGCATTTCAAATGCAACACTACAAAATTCTTGAATCAGCATTTTAAATACACAAGATCAAATCTGATATCTACTCTTTTTTGTCAGATAAGGAAACCAGTATTTATAAATTATGGAACTAATCCAAGGTCACGGGCTAGGTAGAAGAATTTAAAATTAGACTGCAAAATCAGACTTAGTTCATTACCTTTTTCTTGACCTCTGTGCACCTTTTATATTTTTTTCCCTTAGCAATTTGTCTCTGCATTTCCATGCTAATTTAATTTTGATTATAATTTGATAGACATCCAAGTAACTGCATATGGAAATTAAATTCATAAGGACTAGAGAAAAAATCTTATATTTAAGAACATATGGGCACATACAAACATGAATACCATTTAAAATTTTTTCTATGGTATGAGCATGCATATTTAAATACCTAACCTGGGCAGTTCAGCATGAGAATATTATAAAATTAATACAGATTAAAAAATATCAGTGGCTGAATATAAGCTAGAAAAGTAAAAAATGTTAATCACATCCCTAAGAAGAAACTCTAGAAATAAATTAGAAAAGTGTCAATCTCAAGAGCCCACTGAGTCCAGCAAATAGAAAGGGCAGTCTGAAAAATGAGACAAAATATTTAAAGCTATCTTCGAAATCCTTTAATTTGATACTTTTAAATGTAGGAAAACATAATTTGCAGTTTTTCAAAAGTGAAGTGACCTTCAAATTAAAAAAACAGAAAGAAGCTCCACATATTTTCCTCAGAAAAAAAGATGTTGCAAAACAATTTTCTAAGGCACCCAGCGACTTACCCGTTTCCATTTTCCCATCTTGTGCTGCAGGCCCGTCCGGAATCACACTTTTCACCTGCAGAAACTCATCAGGCTCATCTCCACCAATGATGGTAAATCCAAAACCCATATTGCTCTTTTTTAGGGTGGTGCTGAGGAATGTTCCCTTCAACTGGGATGCATCCCGGGTGAAGAGTGGTTTTTCTACATTGGCCAATATAAGTTAAAAAAGAAAAAGCGCGTTTAAGGCAGGTTCTTACACAGGCAAAGCTAGTCCTGAGCAGCCATCCCCGGGTAAATGTGGGGGGTCTCCTATAGTAAATACAAGCAGGGGGTGACTGCAGGAGCAAAACTCTTAGTACTTCCTACAAACGCAGAGCAGTCCCAAGCATCCAGGAAAAAGTAATAAAGCTGCTTGGTTTGGAGAGATATTTTTTGTCAAGTCAATGTTTCTATTCACTAAAGTAGCCCTTCTAGGTGCTTAAAAAGGCTGAATCAACAGGCTGTCAGCACCTTCAGATAAAGAGGAACCCCAAATCATCCAGACGCTTCTGAATACATTCCTCTTGTTCTAAGAGTCCAAGCTGGTTCTGCGCAAAACCTTAAAAGAATAGGACTAGCAAACTGAAATAGATGATTTCGCTCTAAAAAGAAAAAAAGCTGTGGAATGTTGCCACCTATTCACATGTCTAAATTGTTTAGAAAGAGTACCTGGATGTGGGACTGGGTTAACTTTTGCTTATATTGTGAGATGGTATAAAATAATCAGATAAATTAATTTTTACTTACCCAATAGTGTTTAGTATACTCTAAAATGTGAGCAAAAGGCAAGCCAATATTTCTAGATATAATTATGAATGTAAAGGTAACACATTTTGTAATAATATGTTAATATATTCTAATCATATACCTAAATAATTTGAACAGAACTAGAATCCACTTGTATAGGTTTGACCACTAATTTCTTATACATATGCTTTTCTAGCTATGATCTATAATAAACATATTCCTAATAATATATTAAGTGCTGTAAAAATAATAACAGTACTAGGAAGCAGAATTAATATCTTTTAAATGCTATCTCAGTCAAGTATTTTCTATATATTTTTAGTTGTTAGAGTTTGGTTGATATGACTTGATATTCGTAACAGTCAAACTGTACATGGTAACTTAGTTAAGTATTTTGTATGATACTCCTGCTGTTATATTTCAGGTGTTCTATAATGGACAAATTATAAAATAATGAGTAATACTGAAATTTTACTTTGTCTATTTATATATTACATATATCTTTGTTAAAAATAGAGAAAGCTTCTTTAAAATAAAAATAAAAAAACATAACTTTGTTACCTATGGTTCCTTTATGAAAGTAACGTTTATATTTGGAGAGAAGTTCAACGTGAGACCTTTACATTCATTGTAATTGTGCTGTTGTGTATGGTGTGAAAATCAGCAGGCAAATCTAGGCCTCCCGACTGCAAAAGCCTCCTTGCTTCCATGATGAGTAAGAGCCCATGAAGATGTGAAAAGTTTGTGCAGCATCTCATTTCACTGTGTGGCTCTAAGGTGTAGTCAGGTGCAGCAAGCAGCCCCGGACATACCGACAGGCCAGGGCCTCGGGGAGTGGTTGCGCTGATAATATGACAAGTCACTCACGCTGCACGACCTCGCTGGGGCAGCGCTGGGATGGACAGATTTGGGCCTAGGTAATGTCGATGAGGAGCCGTCTACTGTCACAAAGGAGAACAAGCCTCATTCTGGTGCTTGGTCTTTTGAGGACAAACTTCTGACTCACTATGCATCTCTGCAGTTTAAAGTACCACTGTCTAAACCCATTAATCTCCACCTGGCAACATGCTGTAAATTACTGTAACGAGCTGCCTGAGGCTTTAACTTCATCTGTGGTTGCTAAATGCATTAGCTTAGAAAAATAGCAAATACTCTGTTAAAGCTAATAGGAGGGTTTGGGGAAAGCCAATCAATTATTTGGAATTGTCCAAGATAAAGACATATTTGGAAGAGCAGGCAGTTTGATAGACAATATTTCCCCTTGAAACATCACATGTTAATAGGTACCAACCTCGGAAACCTGGGGCCTGCAGGGGCTTTGTTCCAAGTTCTGTGTGGGGCATGTTATGCTGCTGTAGCTTCCTTTTTGCTTCCAGGACAGGGTTTTCAAACTGTGTTCTTCTATTTATGTGGCTGAAAAATAAAATTTCAGATTAGGATAACAGCATGGCAAATTCATTTAAGAGGACATACGTATATCTCTATAGAGAGCAGGCGATTAAGAAACACCTTCTGTGATTACAGTCAAATGCCCCACCAGGCATGAAGTCAGGCCTTTGCTGAGACTGGCTGGTGTACAGTACACATGACTGTGCCAACATCAATTTCTCAGTGGCTCTATCATATGTTACTGTCTTTAAATTATGTGTGATTGAGCCAGAAGAACTAGAATGAGTTACTTGCTTTCCAGTCTACTGTGTTAGTTTGAGATGAGTTTGGTGTATTAAAATAAATGGTCAACAAATGAAATACCAAATGATGATGAAGAAAAGAGTGTCATCTAAGCTTCGCAAAGCCCCTATGAAGTAAGTATAAGGGTACGTTCAATGATTACTCTTATAGCAACCGAAGTCCATGCTTTTTAGCTTCAGACAGATTTGGATTGAAGGGCTGGGATACAGGAGGAAAGACTCCCAGGGATTTTGTGGAAGTTGTAGAGTACTGTAGGACAGTCGATGCTGAGATCAATCATAGTAGAGTATATACTTTCTACACAGTGAGATGATAAACTCATAGATATTAGACACAGAGTGGCTAGAAGTAACTGTGGATCAGCAAAACTAAGGTCTTATAGAATAAGAATTCCTCAAAGTATCCTTACAGTATAATGAATTCTTCTATGAAATTTAGAGTTCTCTGTCCATGGAGAGGGCAGAAACCAATGATGATGCCTAATAACAGTGCCATTTAGTTCTTTCTCTAGGATATAAATGCATCATGAGAAGTCTGGCATATACATTGATTTTGGTTCTTAGTACAAACAGAAATAGGATCATGGATTGAAAGCACGAAGAGGAGAGAGGGGTTAGAAGAAGAATGAACAATAACTGAGTACTTATCTCCATGACAGCTACTATATGTAAATTTCCTCAGTTAAGCCTCATGGCAACCGTCTTGATTTCTAATTATATCATTTTAAGGCAATGAGACTGACACACAGAAGGCCGAATGACTTGCTCTAAATTACATGCCCAGTTAATGAAACTGGTGTTGACCATGTCTATCTCTGAAATGCATCTCTCATCTACATACCTTCTCTATTCAATGTATAGCTTCGCAATGACAAGTACGTACATATTTAATGTGTATGTACACACATACACATCACATACAATCCTCTCACTTTATGTCTTCTAAAATTAGACATCAGAAAAAAGGAGGTAAAAGAAGCAAAATCTCGACAACTGATTTTCTATTAGTATAAATTAGATAATTCCCGGTGAGCCAACAAAGCAGTTGTCAGAAACATAAGACAATTACAATATCTAATTACTTCCTCATGGGAGGCAGCATAGAGTAGCTGCCTGTCACACAGGCTTTGGAATCAATTAGTCCTGGATTCAAAATCCAGCTCTACCCCTTGATTAGTTGTTTGACTTCAGGCAAGTTATTAAACCTGAACTTTAGTATCTTCATCTATTATATGGGCATAACATTTTCTTCCACCTGGGGTGGTTATGAGGATTCAATGAAATAATGAATATTGACACAGAGCTTCAAGCATAGACATGCTCAGTAACTAGCAGCAACTGTCATCATCATGGCCACCACCACCATCCTCTTATCATCACCATCACTGTGACTATTTAGAGTACATAGGAAAGGCTTTTCTGGGGGCGTGGGGCTAACAGCACCAGGATCTTTCTCTCATGTTGCCTTTGGTATAGGCTGTGGTGCTGTTCAGGAAGGGGGTTCCTATGACAATGTCCTTTGGTAATGGAACTCACCGGTATGGGGTTCAAAGTAAATCTGTCTCAGGTAAAATTATTATCCATTGGAAGTAAATGCTACTATAATGCTCTTGCACACGAAGGAGTCCCCACAATCTGTGGTGTGTAATGAATTATGACATGCGAACTTTCAAAGCTTCTCTGTTCCACAAACTCGGACAGTGTCACTCTATTTCAGAAGGGTCAGCATTTGAAGTCTCTCGTCACTTTTCTCCATTTTTCCTTATATAATCCTTGAAGTCTTTCTGTTACCTAAAGAAATATTATTCCTGACTTTACCCTTATTTATCTCTGTAGCTTCACCTTTGGCTGCATCACCACGTGCACCCTTTGCTTTGCACCCACTTGGAGCTACTCTAAGCAGCAACACCCTATCAAGCCTCTTATCTTGTCACGTGAGATTCAGTGTATCAATGGTGCGGTACCTGACAACCTGGGTTTGAGGTGGTGTCCTGGGCAAATAACTAAACTCTCTAAGCATCAATATCCTCATTCATAAAATGAGGACATTAATATCTACTTCCTGGGGTTGCTGTGAAGAGAAATGATGTTTGCAAAGCATATATACATAGGGAGGACACCATAATTGTAAGATATAGTTATTCTTTATTTCTTTTATTACTAATTGCTGCTGCTGTTATTGTTATTTTCACAATGCTTTCCCCATTGTCCCATAACCTGCCAGCAACATTCCCAGCCTGCATTATGTTCCCTCTGTGGCTCTCATAAAGCCATCAACAGACTTCTGCCAACTTAGTGTATTTTCTTATACCCTGCCTCATCAGTAAGAGGATTTGAAGCACTTTTAAAGAACAACAACAACAATGAAAACAAAATCTGGGTAAAGTTAGTTGATTCTAAGTGGAAGATCGATAGACAAAATTGATAATATAAGGTCCTACTTATTTACTAGAGTTATGTTGCAAATTAGCTTTGAGCTTTCAAGCTGCTAATTCAATAGGGGAAAGAAACCAGTTATATTCTTCAGACTGTTTAAGATAAACCCAAGACAGTTCTGAAGGATATAGTACTCCTGTTACTGAGTCTTATGAGATCATTCTTTCCAGGTCTTGGATAAAGAGGTTTCTGTGATATAGTATATAACGTCATAAATGAAATTTCACAACAATGAATTTATAGGATTATAATAACCTTATGACACTGTGTTTTAATGATTGATTTTCATTTTTAGTTCCTTCTCTAGATTGTACACACCTGTGTGCAGGGTCCATGTATTACTCATCTCTGTATACTAAGCATCAAGCAGAGTGAAAGATAATTTTTTTTGTTAAATAACTAAATGATGAGTGTGTGTTTTAGGACTTTTGTTTATAAATATATGGTAGTGATTTTGAGAAAACAAGAAACAGTTTTGAAGTGTACCAAAGTATCAGCTTTCCTCATTTCCTATCTGTTCTATTCCTCTTTTGCTAGGTCATTGTTCATCAAATGCATAACTTTATCCTTAGAAAATGCATTATAAGAACTTTCTCAGGGTACATTTACATATACTGTTGGGTTCCTCCAACTTGCCACCTGCATGTAATTATTTCCTTAGAAAAGTCAATATGTAGCCACCTGCTTTATGAACAGAATGTTGAAACTATTCCATTCACCATCAAAGTGAGTTTCTAGAGTTCACAGAGAATGAAAATACCAATGAACTAGTCTGGCACAAATAGTGAAAGCTGGGTATGGCTTTAGTATCCTGAGCTAATTGCTACAAAACATTTACATTGTCACAAATGAAGTCATTCATTTAAAACTTAAAATGCTCCAAAGCTTTAAAAGACATATCACAAAGAAATATGATTGTAGCTGAATAGGGAAGCCTTGTCTTCCTTGTGCTTCTAAAATGAATAGTTTCAAGTCCCTATAGAAAGGTTTTGGGGGTCTTATAATGTGAACAAAAGATGTGAATGACAAATGCCATTCTCCTCCTTATTGTTTAGTCTCTGCGACATAATTACTATTTCATCTAGCTTCTATACAGAAAAAGAATCTGGGATGATACAAAGAGTTCTTACTCCTTAATTATATCTAGTCTATTGTCATATTTTACTAATAGAATCTTTAGGTGTTAGGGGCTAAGGGAATAAGAGGCATATTCTGAAGTGGATATGTCCTAACACCATTTTCCCTTTACAAACAGGAAAGACTATTGATATGAGACACTTCATGTTGGAATAGCAAAGGGCTCAGGATATTCAAGGGTGGGATTCCATCCTTGACTGTCCTACATGTGCCAGTGCTTTGTAGTTCAGGATAAAGCTGTGGAGCTTAAAACAAAAACAAAAACAGAGAAGACTTGGACCCACCCTAAAACGAGTGAGCCATAATCTCTGAATGGGGTACAAGCATTGGCATATATTTTTAAAAATCTTCCAAGGTAACTCTAATGTGTAGCTAGGGTTGCAATCCCTTGAGTTAGGGGCTGAGAAAGTTTAAAACAGTAGTTGAATAAGGAGTTTCTTACTTAATAAGATGTATGTAGAAGTCTCTTTTTCTATATGCATCCTTAGGGAGTACTAGGAAACGCTATTTTGCTCCTGAAGAGAAGGCTTGTGGCATCAGAAGTTTCAGAAAGGCACAGAGCAAAGAAAATAGTTGTGGCTGATTGAATGATATGCTGCCAAAGGAAGTTCCAGGTCAGTGCCCTCTTTGGCTGCTACCACCTTCACTGTGACAAGGTGATGGAAGAAATGAAAGAAAAGTCGTACTTCCTGCGCCCATCAGTACACAAAGGACAGGTCTGCCACGATCTGACCCTCACACTAACCAGAGCTCCCTCCATATTCCAACTTGTCCATTCCACCTTACTTCACCTGGGTTTTTGGAGAGGGACACTTGTAGTGCATAATCAAGAATGATACCTTTTATACCCACTGGCTATTATCCCATGATCTTGACTTTAGTTAATAGTTTAAAAGTGAATCTTTGGGTCAATGTGAGGGAGAGAAGAGAGAAACTTTCAAGTGGAGATTGTGTCACAGTAAAATATTTCTAAGGTGTTCAGAGTGGCTACACTAACTCTCCGAGGTATGAAGTAGCCAGTGCTCAATAAATATTTGTTGAATAAATGCACAGATGGAAGTAGGCATGCATGAAAGGTGATAGATCTCACTGTTTTCCAGTTTAACTCTGCCATAACATATATATATTGTGGCAGTCAGAACTTTATGT